GCTGCAAGCATAGATTAAACTTAGAAGTTTTATGTAACAGCATTAGAATTATCAGTGAAAACTAAGCAGTATCAAGTATTTGCTTTGTCCTGTTTGAAGGTTCTTAAGCCCAAAGCAAGAAGATTAGATTTTACGGCTTTTCGATCACTGAGTAGAGTTTTAGCCGTTCAAGTATATTTAAGATAATGTAGAAACTATCCATTTATCGCCAGTATTTCACAATTTTTACTGACCTAATTTGACCTTTAATTTGCTGTTCCAAGTTAAACCTTTGTATGACCTTGCTTAATTTTGTCCTCGTTTTGACTGTGCTAACACAATTTTTTCAACTGATCCTCAGAAATAGATTTCATGTTAGTAAAGTATAATGTTTAAAAAGATATATTTATTTACCGGCTCATTTGTAAAAAAGTGCATTCGATTATCTTTGAGTTATTATCTAATGTGATACACTGCCATTGACAATGTATCACTGCTAGTGACTGACATGAATTGTGAATAAATTTATAAACAAAATGATTTTTCCATCGCTGTGTTTCGAAACCACTCAAAAATATTATCCCAGTATCCATTCTTTCAGATAAAATTGGAGAAACCTACATACATCCGTTAGTAAGACTATAAGAGATTCAAAAGCACAATGAATGTCTCATTACGGTTATTCAAGATGAATATCTTTTCTTATTCTTGTTCAGATTGTTCAATTTACTCCAAGTAGAAATACCATGATAGACACTCACATTCACATATACATTAAATGATGTGATAGACACTTCACACTTAAAAATATGAGAACTCATGATTAGAAACAGAACAGACTTTATAAGAATACAAGATTATCAACGATATTCTCCAGCAATAGTATACTCTGACATTTTCTTTCTTTGGGTTCATATAGACTATTACTAAACCAGATAATGTCTATCTTTTTGGTTGAAATAAGCTTAAGCACCGGAAAAAGACTCTGTAAATGCAATATATGAATGAACGTGCAATTTAAAGATTCCTTATAACTTGAGACTTACTAATCGTTCTATTCTAATTTAATACTACATCTCGATGTTTACAGCTACATGCTGAATCTTGACAAATCCTCGATTAGTATAGTGAATGTGTATTTGTTTAAAAAAACCCAACATTTATTCTCGTCTGAACATATTAATGTCTACATTATATGACATTACAGTCAAACTTGATTGTATGTTATTGAATGATTAGTGTAAGATATATTTGACAGAATGTTTTTTTTGTGTGCAATCTAAGTAATATTCTGCAATGTCAAACTGTCAGGTAGAGTAGCAAAATATAGAGGAATTGGAAATTTTCCAAAATAATATTTTTAGTTAGATAATATAATGAAAATTAAAAAAAAAAAAAGAGGAATATGAACACTGATAGGTTTGAAGGAGTACAACTAACTAATACTTACTAGTCACTTGTTAATCATATACACAAATCATAAAAAAACTGACTACACCATTACAACTGAGATTGAACTATGTGACTTTACAAACTATTTTATTATTGACATTCTCTATTTACTATTATGCATCTATTTTAAACACTATTTATCTGATAATTTTATTGTATCTAGAATATATCACAATTCGATTTTATATCTGAATGAATATTACGTGACTTGTTTGATCAAACATATACTGTACCGAATGTATCCAAAATATTATATTAGCAAGGTATACACATTTTGCTATTTCCCATAGTAGACAAAACTTGATGACATTCTTTAACAAAATAATCACTCCTATGATCGTAAACAAAACAATCAAGATAATAAATTACTTTCTATGACAAACGAAATGTAGATACATAAACTTTATTAAATAACAAAAAACAAGTCATTCGCTTTAAAAAATAGATGAGAACGAAATGAACTTAAAACTTACATATACATATACATATATATATATATATATATATATATATATATATATATATATATATATATACGTAAGTTAATTTTAAAAATGCTGAAAGATGCGGCTAAAAATAACTTACTACAAATAGTACAGTGATATTATTTTTAAAAACAGAAACATTATCTGGATAAATGCGTATAATGAATTAAAATTATATATATATATATATATATATATTTATATACAGAATTGACAATTCGACACTTTTTTTGTCTCTATCAACAAGGATGTAAAGTATCAAATGAAAAATTGAATGTAGCGTATTTTTGTTTAAGCAACGACAATAACAAAAAAAGCATAATAATAATAATAATAAAATTACTTTTTATGCAAAAAAAATACTCTTATTCACTTAGCCAGTGAAGAAAGAGAAAAAAATTGTGACAAACAACCATTCGCTCGTTTATCAGCCCAGTACATTGAAAAGTTTTTGAAAAATTGTACGATAATCAATTTGTTTGCTACGCATCATGCAAAATAAAATGTGTTTACGATAGACAGAAGTACAAATTGTATAATTTATGTAGTTATCTTGTAGAAGAGAGAAGAGAAGAAGAGAAAAAAGCATAAGTTCACTTATCACAAATGAAATAAGAAAAAAGAAAAAGAAAAGAAGATGAAGTCAACTAACAACGAAAAGCATAGAACTCTGTTGTCGATTATCTTAATAAACATTCCATTTCCTACTGTTCAATGAAATACATGTATGTATGTGCACTATTAGATATTTTATACATGTAAACAAGGAATAGGAAAATTTAACCGAACCAACAAAACCTCAACACACACGCACAGACACACACACGCGCGCTCGCTCGCTCGCAGCGCATACACATGTAAAAATGACATTTGTTCTATTTTTAAATAATAACTTTGAAATAAAAATGCATCAGAATGTAGAAATGATTAACAGCTGTTGACCAATTCACAGTAAATTTGAATTGGATTAAAAAAAAGAAGAAAAAGAAACCCGGTAATTCTCCAAATAAATGCAAATGATTCCTTTGAAAAACTATTTATAGAATTATTGTACAGTTAAATAGAAAGGTAGAGAAAAGAAATGTTGCAGATCAATGCATAGAAGAATTATTAACCATACACTTTCAATAATTACAAGTTGAATGGACCTATGGAACAGATCATAAAAACTAATCAAACAAGATACACACTTAAATTTGTACCACAATATCTAGTTGACATTCATCACAAGAGAGGAAGATTTAAACACGTAGAGAATAAATCACAATGAACTATATATGCCAGAGGAATAAAAACTTCATGTGTTGTTGTATGGTTACAAGCATACTGTCTCTATTGAAAGAGATATATGTGATAATAAAAACAAGTGATTACAATAGTAACAAAATGTACAGTACACAAATGAAAGACAATATAACAATGAAGTCATAGAGAACAGGGGACATTGGTGTGTGTGTGTGTGTGTGAGTAGGTACCCATAAGCGATATAATCAAAAAGATGAATATGAATTTATATTGAAATAAAGTAAACTTTGTAAAATTAAATGAAATAGTATTTATTTATTACATGATAAAAATGTTTTACTGAATTATTATAATTAAATTTATAAACCAGCATAAGCAACATTTTCCTTTCTCCATTTGAAATTCATCCCACACTCAAATAGGAAATCGTTTGAGTTTGTTTTAGTTATTTGTATCTAGTTCATCATCATAGCAATATATTATCAAGGGAATAAAATGAATTGAATCGTATGCACGTATACTGGGTAATATGAACACATTTTTCATAAACTCTAATGATATTTAACTTTGTGGTTAGCTGGTATTTGTATTTAGATCATTGCTTACATTGATTAAATCAGATGAGGATAAATTTACTAGACAAGAGTCAACAATTTTCAATTGACGTTTAATCAAATCATATAATTCATATTTATCTCGCATTGGTTTACGCTCGGTTTTGGTAGGTTTACGACCTAGAAAAATGAATAGAGAGATTGAAAGAGAAAAAAATAAACAAACGAGATATATGTAAAAAGAAAAATGCAAAATACGGTTTTATTTTACACATCTAACTGATTAGTCATTGATTAAAATTCCACTGTAAAATTAAAATATCATGCCAAGTGAAGTTGGTAATTTTTTTTTATGGTATATAGGAAAGAATTTGTCAATCTCTCTCGTTTGATTTTGAACAGACCAAGGAAAAGAAAAATGGAGGCAAATGTGAATTTATTGTATTTTATCGATTTATCACAATTGCCTATATCCATTTTCGTTCGAAAGGTACTAGATATTTTTAAAGATTGATTGATTCAGCATTTTATATTTGATGTTGACTGTACGTTTTGATTGTGAGGTACACATAGAGTTGTAACATGAAATTTCTTTTGACCTAACCACTTTCATTACATAATCAACATTAGTGACTGTGCAGTGTTGAAATGGTTAAAGTTCAACTGTTGTTTTCAATCTATAAACAAAACTAATTGTATGGAACTTTCCATGTATAACACAAAATCAGAGAAAATTTAATAGATAACTGAGTTAATGTGAATTCCACATTTTTCTTCGTACCTCACTACGCAACCTTGTATAGATTAGGTTTATTTTTATAAGTAAAATGAGAATCCTTAAGTTAGAACATCGCTAACTACATAATTCAAAGTACGTTTTTTTTAAAGATTTATGACAGTAAATTAATGATTTCAAATCATCGTTTTATTGACATTTTTAATCAGTTTTAGTTCAGGTATATGTGCATCTTCTGTGGATTGTTCCAATATTCGCATTTTATATCTGACACGTTTGTATCGAATAAAATTCTAATCAAATGAGAAAATTAATATTGAAATGCAAGCAATAACATGTGTTAGTGATAAATACAATAAAAATTGTTTGATATTGTTTCGTATAAAGTGTACATTCTTGAAAAAAAAAACAAATCATAACCCATATTGTACCTAGAAGACGACACCAAACTGGAAAGTAGGCAGTACACTAGATCCTAATTGAAAATACTGATAATGCAAAGTTCAATGATCACATTCTAATGCAACCTATTTTTGTTCTACCCACCTTTTATAAATACATGGAAAAGTTATGCAACTCATGTCTTAAATTAATTAGAGCAGAATCTGTTTTAATTTAATTAGAATTTGCATAAATAATAAATTGTAAAACTTATAAAATTGTAGAAAACGAGATTTCAAACAAAAACGTTAAGCGCTCGAGCACGAGGCCGAAGGTTCTAGGTTCAATAATAGAGAGCGGGGATTGTGGATGCACACTACTGTAGTGTCCCATATAATAACGAAACCACCATCCAGTGCTTCCAAGTTTCTAATAGTGATCTAACACCACATGATTCATGATTCCAATGTGATACAACAATCTCTATAACTCTATGATGAAAAAGTAATTATTTTATCCTGTTTAATGTAAACATTTCAGCATGATTAATGTTGTTGAGAGAAAGGTGTGCTGAATAACTAACTAATTTACTGGACAACTTGTAATACACAGTTGTAACAAATTATGTACTAGATAAAAACATGCAATTTTAATTGCTTATTATTTTTCCAAAAAATACATTTGTGTACATAATTGTATATATGTATATATATATTAGTGTAACGTTGAATGTTATAAATTGATTGATAGTTCTATTTCTTGTATCGAAATTGTTGTTGAAAAAAATATATATCAGAATAATTAACGTGACTGACCATGTGATGTGATTACACAAAGCACATCAATAACCAACTGTTCAAAAAGTATATTTACAAAATTTGAAATAAGTTTCTTTTTTTAATGAATTCACTGTTAACTAATTATAAAATGACCTTAATTGACAGGTTTAGCCAGTTAATAGTTTTTGTTAAAAAAAGTGAACATTTTTACAATTTCTTTTAATAGTGGAAAATGATGATATTTTTTTTATGCATTGTGCATTCTGCTTAAAACTATTATAAATCTTGTTTGTAAGTAGGAGATATTCTACTTTTTCAGACAATATAAGGTTACGAGAAAGTATAGTTGGAGTGTTGAAATAAAACTGTAATGACATAAAAGTTGAAAAGAAATATATATATATATATATATATATATATATATATATATATATATATAAGAAAATGAACATTTTGTCATTTTTTATGGCTGCTTGTCGACAAAATGAAAAATCAATCCAACTTACAAAAGCGATAAAAAATCATCAGTTTTTTTTTCCATAATTGTATGTTTTAGCTTGGAACATTATGAAATATAATATAACAGTAGTAAATTGGTTGAAGATTTTAAAATACGAAATAACGAAGATTTAGAAAGATAACAAGAAATTCAAAAATGACACAAATGTCGGAATATGATAATAATAAAAAAATTACATTTCGGAGAAAAAATCCCAACAAGGATAGATATGAAAGAAGATTTTTAAAAAAAACCAATCAACCTATCTCGATTATTATTCTAATATTACTTTGAACAAGCTAAATACTCACTGACTACAGTAGGAACTAGTGTCACTAACTTAATTAAAAAAACTCATATTTTCCGGTATTTTCCATCTTGTTTGTCTAATTATATCTAATAATTAATTAATTAATCAGTTTATCTTAGTATAAAAATATACACAGACTGTGTTATCATTATCAGTCATTAATTACAAATGGAAGAACAATTCTATTTTATAAACAATATGTCATGTTAATAATAATAATAATAATAATAATAATAATAATAATAGTAATAGTAATAATAATAGAGAATTTGGATAAGATAGTAAATTTACCTAGAACAGGTTAATTTTGTTAAAAATGACTTTAAGCATTACGCTTATGATTTGCATTATACATTATTAGTTCTACTATCGGAAGGTACTAATTATATCATGATGATAAATATAATTCTTTAGGCATAATAAATAAATCTCTTTTCCTTTCCTGTTTTTTTTCCTCCTCTTCATTTAATTCCTCTCGTTTATGTAAACAGAGATTATTGTGTATTTTATTATTCACATACATTATGCACCTATATACATAGATATATATGTCTATCTACCTGTGTTCACTCTCTTTTATCAGTATGTAGTTTGAATTTCCTGTATAAACATTAATTAATGATCACAAAAGAAAAACGTTCATTTAATAGATTTATTAAATACATGTAAAATACAATAATAATAATAATGGAATATTACATATGGTTGTTTGATTATGTGGATAAATAATTGATTGAATAATAATCAAAATGATAATTACATTGGGCGTGTATTTCTGTAACAAATTGATAATAGATCCACGCATCAAGTGTTAAATATTACTCTGAATATGAAAGTTCTACATTATTTCTGAGTTTTAGTTTTGTTTTTGTTTATTTAATTAAAAAAAAACACTGATATAAATATCACAAAAATTTACTTTAAGTAATATAAACTAAGAAATTAGAAAAAACGACATTGACAATTACATTGGGACATTGATATTTCAAGTTTATATCGACTAAACAGTGTAACTGAGAATCCTAATACCTCAACATGAAATCGTATTAGAGATGATCTATTTACGTAATATATCTGGAATTTTTTTTCTAATAGCATAAATGACGTTTTTAATAATCATAAATGTCTGTTATTGTTTAGTTGTACTGTTTTAGGTATCAATTTGTCTATTTGTCAAAGTTACAAATGAATTTCGAGAAATAAATGCCAAGAAACTGAACAACTATATATATGATGGTAAAATTGACTATATGAACATTACTTAAACAGGCGAGCTATTCACAGAAAGAAACAAGAGGTTTCAAAATATTATCCTACAGCTGAAAGTTTAAATTGTTAAGATAGAAATCTGACATACTTTATTATTTGCTGTCTTACTATCTACAGTGTGATTCCTCAGATCATGGTTTCTTCTTGGGACTAAAGGAAACTCATCTCGAAGCTACTAGCAGAAAGATAATAATAATTATTATTATACTAAAGATTATCGTTTAAAATTTCATCTTTTAATTTTAAAATAGCAGAAGTTTCATAAAACTGACACCAACTAAAACAAAAACAAACATGTAACAAAATATTCAAGCTCATTTCCAAGTGACTGATACAAATTTTCATTAGAAACAACATTATCATTAGTTTGAAAAGTAGCAACTTTTAAAAAACTTCATAAACTAAAACGTTTATTTGGATTTTACTAATTCAACTGTACAACTATTAACATTTTAAATAATACTGTTGAATAATATATATATTTATATATAAATGACTGAAAATATTTTTAATTTTTAAAATTTAGCAAAACATACCCAATACACGTTTGATATTATTCTCATACTCGATTAATTCCGTTTGAATAATATGCTTCTTTAATAAGATATTTTTCTTTTCATGATATAATTCCATAGGAGATAACGAGTATAATTGTTTACGATACCTGTGATTGAATTGACACATAAAATAATGAGATGCATAAGTAAGTAGATGGATTTAAAAAAAAGCAAGTTTCTTTTATGATTATTAACATACATAGAACAAGTTTTAAAACTATTGTTATATGTACAGTTGAAAAATTTAAACAATGTATCAGAGAAATTATTGTCTCTTCACCACAGTCGGCAAATGAACCTTGATTTTTGAATTAGAAACCAAATATTTCAATAAATAATCATGATTCAGTGACATGGAACATATAATGTATATCGATTGGCAGAAGAATAGTTTTATGTATACAGATATTAAGATTGAGAATGTTCATTCTCAAGGCCCTTATTGTTTGGTGAACAATGACCCTTATATTATTGAAACCATTATAATCAGTGTGCATTAAATAAATCTAATTGATTCTGACAGATTGAATGAATTTTCAATCAAAATGACTTGAGGCAAAAAATAGGAATATTGGCAGAAAAAAGAAAAAAAACAACACTAAGCTCAACTTTTACACGAAATAAATTATGCAACGTTAAACTTAACTAA